AATATTAAGTATAGCGAAATCCCGTTTGCATTATCCTGCACCTTCTCGAACATATCTCTTTCTGTCACCTTTCATACCCACACCATCATATTACCTATATCCTTCCCTAATACCGCCTTCTCATTTATACCCGTTCACACAGTGTTGGGAGTAACTGCGGCCTTATTTCGATATGCATATTTACCCACTCGTTTCTTGTGTATTCTAGAACCGGGGCTGGCACGGGAAAATCGAATTAACTCGGCCTCCACGGTAGTTATACATTTCAAATTCACAGTTAAACATCTGCCCAATCTTTTTTAGCATTGACATTGGTCTTTAGCATACCTTTTATACAATTCCAGTTCATCGGTGACGAATTTCCGCGAGAAGCTGATAATTTGCATCGAGTGAACGCAATCACTGTACGGCTTGGTTATCCGCTTATGTTAGCTGCTAACTATGCCGCAATCTGGCTGCTCACACTTATTTGTGCTCAGAGATTCCAGGTTTGTTTTATGCTATTACCCAACCCCATTGGTATACTTACCTGAAACCAAGTAGGCGTGAGTCAGAGTAGGAAGTCAAAGATCACGTAATAGTTACCACATCCGTCAACAAGTCACTCGGACTTTTCAGGCCATTTGTCACCCATCAAATCCATGGAAACTCCGACTCACATGCATTCGACGGAGTAAAGGGGCGGTAACTGTTGTTGTTGGAGCCGCTCTAGGTGAGCCCTATTTCATATGATCGATCTAATCGATTATTGATTGGTATCTTGATTCGAGACTTGACTAACGTAGACGTTTATAGGCTTGAATGTTATCCGTTTTTGGGAGATGGAGTGGCATGCTGATCACGGTGGTATCGTAAGCTCAGGATTACGGTAGGCTATTCTTACAGAATTACTAACATTTGAAAGTTTTTTGTCGAGCTGTAAACATATTTACCTCAAATGGTGAAAATTTCCTATTGATAGATCATTTTCCATCTCGGTCAGACTAAGTATTGGGCATGAATTCGGGAGTAATCACATTTGGGTATCACGAATCGCAAAGTAGGATAACCAAAGCTGCGTACATGGCCATAAATGGATAAAAAGTTAAAATATTATAAATACAATTTTTAAGGGTAATGTGATGATATACAAAAATTTTTGGCAGTGGAGTCTGGGCTTTCTCGAGAAACCCAGGCTATTCTCGAGAGGGTATGGGATGATTGAGCATCTCGGGCATCATTGAATGGCACATTCTTTTGATGGATGGGCATGGCATTCTATTTGGAAATTGATGGGAAATAGAATATAATGAGCGACAGCAGCTATTTTTAGGGATCATTTATTATACAAAGTGATACAAGAAGGAATTGTCTACGGCTTAATTGTCTATGGACTTCCGATATGCCTTCTGTTATGGTTAAATCTGAACACTATACAATTAATACGTGGTGAACAGGTGAGTTTATGAAAATTTCGAATATTTCCAAATATGGATAGCAGAATGGACAAATGTGTCGCTACACTCAGATGTCTTATAAAACCAAAGTCCAAATCGCTTTTTTTTTNTTTTTTTCTTTATTTATTTATTTTTCTGTTTACGATGGTATCTCCCTTTTCTTCTAACCGAAAAGTATTGCCTTAAACATCGTTCGACTTCGACACCCAAACGTGAGAATAAATGCGCTTATACGATAGCCCAGAGATCCAGATTTGATTAGGAGGTGTAACCCACTTATCCGTTGGTCATTCCAGCTTCATGTGCAGGCATCCCGACGATCAGCAGAATATCGAACAGCTCTGATGACTGTCTGTGTATTTGTGTTCTTCTTTCTGTGCACTACACTTTCGGCATCGATCAGACTGTTTATGTGAGCCTTTAAATTATCGATTGACTTACAGTAATCTTTTCAAGCTACCGTAATCGTACATGATTTAAGGATAACAGCTGGTGGTCTGGTCGATCCGCTAGAATTAGTATGGTTAGTGGATTTGTCGAATCTGCTGATGAACATTAATGCACTAGTCACGCCTATTATTTGCTTTATATTTACCAGAGGGTTTAAGGTAAGAAGTAATCTAATATTTACTGGTCTCACTTTGTTTATTTTTTCATTTATTTTTACTAGTTTATTGGAATAAGGGAGCCGAAGGTCCAAATTATCCCGAGTATTCGAGATTTCTATGATGAACCTTCACCTAGTTATATTCCACCTGCCACTACTGAGCGGGGTTTCGCACAACACTTTTCAGAAGACACTCATTATCGATTTGAGAGATCAATATTGATCTGCAGTTACAACATACCTACGACCTGCCTATTTCACGTCCTACCGTATCACTCAATTCTTTACAGGACCTCTTCTTTGTGATACGATTTGCTCCGCCAAAATGTTCGCCTGATGAGAAGGATTTTAGTCCTCACTTGACGCCAATGCTCTCGTCTGCAGAATATCAACATTTATAGCCTCATGACCTTTATCGATATAATTTTTGTCAATATCAAATAATAACGCTTTAACTCAATGATTTTGTGGTTCAACAGTGTGATTTAATTTTTGTATTATATCAAAATAGAAAAATAAAAAATCTTCAAAGTTTTAGCATCTATCATCAAGCGTTTTCGAGACGCCGATGGATTTTTCCGTTGAATGTGTTAGTTGTGGATAGTCTTATCCTGAGCGGCCGAGTCTCGTGTAGTGAGAACCAACACCGTATCCTTGCCTCAGCTGGAACCTCAAGGGAAGAGCATGAGTCCAACTAGTTATTCATGAAAGCTTGATGTTCTCAGGCTGCCTCGGACCACCAGCTTTCCGAGTCCGGTCTTTCGGGCTCTTTGTTATAATCCAATCCTGTAGTACCGATGAAGTCTAGAGGTCTTATGTCGTCGAACGATCCCGTTCTCGAAAGTGTCCAGATAATTCTTGAAATACATCATGCTGCATTGTTGTATCCCGTTTCAGGCCCCACCCACATCACAAACTCCGCCCACTCTGAGAGATGAGTGAGATGAAGCTGTATCGATGGAGTACGGCGAATCTTACAATTAGAGTCTTTTGCGCAATTGAATGCTAGGCCTTGAATTATTTGAACAATAATAAACCTTTCTTAGATATTCGAGGGTTATTCCCTGCGTAAGGTACAAAATAATTGAGGGCCCCCATGGGAGTTCCCGGTCGTGCAATTTATAGACTTTCTTCGTTTGACCACAAAACACTCGTTCTTCCCCTTTCTCCAACATTTATCAGTACAAATTCTTGATGAACTGAAAAAGTTCAGCCTCGTAAAGATACCTAATTTCGACTGCTTCGTTGTTCAAGAATTCTGCCATCTAAATCAATCAAGCGGTTTTTGACTCATTAGTTCAAATGTTCGAAGAAAAGGGCACATGTGCCATGCACTCAGTCCCTATTTCCCAAAGGGAACCATCTTTATGTGTAGAATTATATTAAAGATGCCATTCTACGCGAACCAAAGAAAGAAGAAAGATTGAGTAATGTCGCACGACATTTACTGATTTTTCGTTTCCGTCCTGGGAAAGCCATGAACTTTACTGCCCAAATGGGAGATGTGCCGGTAAAAACAGTCGAAAATTGCTCGTACTCCTTCCGAAGTAATTTTCTGAGGTATCGAAGAATACTTAGAATGTGCGAGAATTTGGTAACTCCAGTAGGTATCCTAAGGAAAAACAGTAAACAGTAAACAAACAATATGGATAGTAGCGGCAGCTCCAGGCAAAGAAATGTATGGATTTTTATTTTTTTATTTTTTTTTTGGATTTGTAGTTGTTTGGAATTCTTGTATATCCCCTATCCCACCTCATGACAAATAACCGAAGGAAAGGTGAGGACGTCATTCAACTTGGGATTTATTAATATCCGACAGACCACTACGCAGGTGGAGAATATTTTCTGCGTCATAACAGATCGTCACTACTAATACCGTAATTTGATTATTTTTGGCTGTAAACAACGCATAGTAATACTTATTTATTCCATTTGCTAATCAAAAAAAANAAAAAAAATGAAAAGGCACAGTGCAACCTAAACTCATACAGTATAATACACTATAAAGCGACCCGTTTAACTACATGAAACCGTTGAGATGTTCACCGAATTTGCATGAATATTAGAGCATCGTATATAGTCCAGTGCCGCGAAATACCAGACGTCGCGCGCGACTTGCGCGCGACGTCGCAGTTGGCCGTGCGAACGCGTTCAAACGCTTCATGACACGTTTTCTGTGACGACAGCAAAGTATGAACGTTCTACGAACATACGCTGCTTGGTGGTATTTCGCGACAGTGAACAGGAGGATCAGACAAATTCGGCACTTGCTTGGGTGGCTACAAGATCGATGGCTTTCCGTCGTGTGATGTATTTTCGGATCAGTCCACGTACAGCTGTTTTGTATTCGACAGATGAAGCCCAATAGACGAAAAAATTGGCCGTAGCATTGACGACCACGAGGAAATTGCCGACGTCTATGAGGATCGCATCAGCTGCAGGTCCCAGACCTCTGAAAGAAAAGGAGGTTGGAGGTCCCCTCTCCGGAGACATATCACTTGATTACTTTTGATACTTACATTTTGAGCATCTCGAAGACGTTAACCAGTAGTGAAGTGACATTGCAGGCGAGGAAGAGTACGATCACCAACAGGAGTACGACCGGCGATCCCTGATCTTCCTGCTCCTCACCTGAACACGGAACTCTTAGCGGAATGCGATTTTCGAGATGGCACGCAAGTCCTCTCTACCGAATCCCTAATTGGCACTTGGGGATGGAAGAGGCACGCGACAAGCACTCTTTGGGCTGCATATTCTGTGCCATATCACGTAAGCGAATAATTAAATCCTAGGGTAGAGGTAGGCCTTGAAGTTGATTGAGGATACGGTCAAGATGGTCAATTGTAGGGCTACTGTATGTTCTGACCAATGGGCGTTTTCGTTATATACTAACCCAGTTCTTCTTAAAATTTATCAATTTTTGAAAGCGGCCGCTAAGCCTGTAGTTTCAGCCCGACCGATGGCAATGATTTTCGCTAAGCCATTTGAGCGATAACCTTAACCATCAGGTCGGGTTGAAATAGACATACACGGTAAGTGACTTCAAAGTCGTGCTCCCACAAGCTTTTCTCTCAGCCATGAGTTGTAGGTGAATATCACGAGTTATGAGTACTTCATTCCCATGCAATAAACTCCTTTATTTCTACCTGGGAGTTGGACATGGCGTATACCCGTAGACTACTTCCGCTTCCCGCTAGAAACATTGTCAATCTTCTGTGGACTGTCAACACCACCTCAGCCAAGTTCCTTTAGAGTACTGATTGAGCTCTTGAAACAGTAAAAAATTTCCAACTACAAAGCTGACCGTATCTGTCGGAAAATTGTAAAAAAAAAACCTGAACTCAATTTTGAAATACTCACATTCACATATGACCTTCTTGGATTCTTCGTGTTTCTTTCGGAGAAGATAAAGGATGCCAAATGTTAGTATAGTTAACAGGATGAACGGTATAAAAGCCATTGACAGTGCGTACATATATCCCCTGAAAGCAAAAATGATCTTTAATAATCCAAGAATTGAAAATTTTAAGGAAAATATGTTGTGACAGGCATTATCCAAGAGTATACTACCCATTTTGTTTACTCACTTATAAACAACAATATAAAGTTCGCTGACACGGAGTTCGGTAGGGCAAAGCTCGTATAAGGTGTAATTGTCCGGATGTAAACACTCAACTGCCTGGAAATGAGAACATTGTATTGATCGACTTGTTGAACAATAAAAACAATAAAAAAGTGATAGGAAAATTACCTCCAAGTCACCGAATTGTATGATGTTATAGGCGGCGACGCTAATGACCACACAGGCTAGGACCCGTGGTGCCCATGTTGACCGGGAACCGAACGCTGCTGGACCACTGAAATTGAGCACCATTGAGCACTGTGTCGTGTGCATGGCGCAATCCAGAAAATCTGGGATCTACAGCTTCACGCTTTCCCTAGATCGTCGTTGTAGCTATGTGAACTTGGACTATCTCAATTACAAAACCGTCGGTTGCTCTGGCACCCTACGGGGAATTACTGCGCACAGCCCGTTGTTTTGACAGCTGGGTCCCTTATCGTGAGCCAAAAATGGCAAGCCTCTACAGAAGCGTGCATCTAGGCAATTGACCTTTTCTATTAGAGTGAATCATTCTTCAGTAACCTTAGAAAACTAGTAAATGTTGATATAGCCGTTTCCAAAAAAACATCCGCAAATGCTATGTTAGCGTGCTGAATTCTACTAATCCCAGGTAGCGATTACGTATAGAGTGACATTTGCTGGCTTAACAAATTCTCATCATCGCTATCCGTGATAACGAAGAAGATTACTGTAACCTATTGAATTTTTAACTTACCGTAATACAGAGATGTAACAGTCGAAAGCAGCCAACACAGTGATGTAAACGGAGAGCATCTGTAAAAATAGACTTTCCGTCCCGAATTGTTCCATTGGTGTGCAATTTATTGTAAGAAGGATCAATCAGGGATGTTTGGAGGGATNTACTAATCCCAGGTAGCGATTACGTATAGAGTGACATTTGCTGGCTTAACAAATTCTCATCATCGCTATCCGTGATAACGAAGAAGATTACTGTAACCTACTTACCGTAATACAGAGATGTAACAATCGAAAGCAGCCAACACAGTGATGTAAACGGAGAGCATCTGTAAAAATAGACTTTCCGTCCCGAATTGTTCCATTGGTGTGCAATTTATTGTAAGAAGGATCAATCATTGGAGGGATGTTCAATAAGACTAGAGCTGTACCGCTACCTGGAAAAACAATCCGAGTGGAATCAGTTTTGGTAGAAGGAAAACAAACAGCTGATCGACGACGAATGCCCGTGCCCTCAACGAATCTGCGAATATCACCACCACACCGGCCATGCAAACACCTAAAAATATGAGTCAAATAAAGAGGAAAAAAACACTGAGAATAGTGAATGAGTAATTTATAAGCCGTCAAATTAAATAGTAACAAATGATTGAATAAAAACTATTAGGAGAATTTCACTCGATCAATACTTTCAGGAAAGCTTCAAGGAATTTCAGTTCACACTGTTGTTTGTTTCCTTAGTAGCTTATTAGTAATTATAATTAAAGATGGAAAAGCTGATTATTTTTATATTAAACTGAATAGGGAGTGAAGCATAATCGATTAGACATCGACTTTCAAGTCTCATGAGAAGGACAAAACTATCGATCCATATCGATCGAACAGCAGTTGCAAAAATCTTTTTCATTCTAAATACGAATCGATGCAGAGGGAGGGAAATGGATTACAGAAACTAAAGGAGTAGAGCAAAACTCAAGCCCGGAAAAGAAACGAGCAAAACAGATAACGCTGCAGAAGAGCAAAATCCTGCTTAGAAAGTTCAAGGACGCGTAGTTATAAAAATAATTGTGAATTTTAAAGAAGAGCACGGAAAAATGCGTTATTGTACTCACCAACATCACTACAACTGAGAGCTGTCAAGTACTTTGCTGCAGTATTCCGTTGTGATGAGAACACGACGATATTGAGGAAATTCAAAAACACTCCGATTGTGGCCATTACCGGCAATATGCCGATGACAATAATCTGAAAACAATGGGTTATGGGAGAGGTTTGAGTTCCTTAACCAGAAAAGAAGGCAAAGGTGATGAGTACTGACCAGGTTGGCGACGCCGGCGACACCATCGGTCGGTTCATGCAAGCAACCGCATGTGCGCATTCCACATTCACTGAAATCAGTGAAATCAGCGAAGGTCTATAAACAAAGCATGTACAAGGATTGTACGCGAGAACTAGAAGGATCGCTAAACGCCAACAACTAAGATTCACACTATAAACGACTTCCAGAGACAATGACGGAGCTAGGAAAGTCAGTAACAGAAACAGAGAAAATGTAGCTTAGCGAAAAAAATAAACAGTTTGAAACTACTACAGCCGATGAGATCAGAGAAGTGAAGTCGATTTTCCCAGCACCTCCAGAGAAATCAATAAAAAAAAGGAATCGAGCAGAGCTACATAAGAGCTACTGTCCAGATCCTGAAAGTGCTGCTCAGAATTCAGACGAAAGAGAAATGGCGGAGAAGTACGAAATGGATAAAGGTAAGAGTACATAAGATCAAAGGTACAAGGTTGAAAGTAACAAGTAGTCATTTGAATGAAGAGCGCTAGTCTCTTCCCACCTAGGAGGCCTAGAGGGCTTACATCAATGACTGATAGGCCTAATTCTTCCGAACTTTTTTACTCGACAAAATATCGACCTATGCACATGTGGCGATGCTGTTTCCAACATCATCGCCTTATTACCGTCAGACAGCAGTTGCTGTTTTTAATTATTTTCATCTGTTTTCAGATGAGATATTTACTCTGTTCTTGTGACACATTTTAATAGCTCCAGATACTCCTCAAATCGAGTTGAAACACAGCTAGCATTCCATTGTGAAAAAACTTCAGACTATTTGCTGTTAGGGCCGCCAGAAGTGAAGCCATTGAGGTGGGAATGAGGATCTTTTAGCTGAGTATCCTTCTAGAAGAATGCCTACAATGGGTCATTTGTTAGTGATATGAGAGTCTACAAGAGGTACGACGCAACGTTGCTGCCCATCTGTGCATCTTGAACTGAGTGCTTCACTACTGCTTAAGTGTCCCCTCCAGTCCCTAACCCCTCCTTCGCCACTTTTAATTCCGTAAAGGACATAGCACTGGAATAAAAATAGCGTAACCCGGGAATGAAAGTCAAGAAGTTTATAAGGTGATTTGTACTGAGTGATAGTGAGTGATAGCAGGTGTAAGTGGGCGTAAATGGCCAACAAGAAGTGACAATAAGCTAAAGTAAAAAAGCGATACAGCAAAATGATTCAATGAAGGGCCCAGAACCAGTCCAAGGCAGAGTTGTTTTATAAAATGTACCATCGATATCTCAGCCTAATAGTACACGTAATTACGGGCCGGAGTAGAGTTCGTTAGACGATTAAGCCTATCGCGAGACTTGCCTAAATCCCCCATAGAAGCACTTGTGGGAAGAAAGGAAGACTTGGGAGAATCATAACAAAGAGCGCTGAGAAGATTAGAAGTACTTTAAGACTACGAAGATAAAAAGTGACGGAAGTACTTGCAAACATGATTATGAAGGTGTGTACCGATAAAAGTAGACAAGGTGGGAAGAAAATGAGGGATAGAGCTCTTCTACCAGGTTCGCCTTCAATCCAAAAAGTTGAGAATGGAGCTGGAAAGGGTAGAATAGAAGACGTGCAGATTCAACGGCAGGAAATTCTGACATAACCTCGACCTTCCTTGTATCGTTAAGGGGTGGCTGGAGGTAGTCAGGCTAAGGCGATCTAAATTCCCACTCACTTGTCAGTAGTACGCCATCCAGCAGTAACTGCCTCGAAAACAACGATAGACAGAGTTACTAGGGGGAAAAGCAAGAGCTCGAAACTACATTGCTGGAGGGGAGGGGGTCCCAGTTCAGCTTCTAAGTGCCGATCGAAGTGTGAAATACTAATGGGCCGTCATACCCCTCAACTTCACAAGTCCATCCTTATTTAGTCAACGTCTCTGGGCCGGTGGTGTCCTGACCGCGAAAAAAGGAACAGTAACGGTACGGTGCTAAATAATAGATCGTCTGGGCCAATTGATCCTTGAAGGGTCCCTCCAGTACTGAGCATTGACTTTTAGTAGAACTTGCCCAGAAAGGGCACCAGCTTGCAGGCGACGAAAATCAAATTCCACCCTAGTGAAACGAAAATTCAGAATTGAATTCAAGCAAGATACAAAACTAAATCTACATGCTTTATGCTATTTTTCTAGAAAAAAATATTCGATGCTTCGATTCTCAGGAAAATAATGCGAGTGAGTGGATGGTTTTGACGAAGTTGTTACCTCATTACTTATTTCTTACTAGAATATTCTGTGTGAACAGACCAAACTAATGAATTCAATTGCGTGAAAGCATTCCCAATGGGTTTATAAGGAATCATAGAACGAAAAAACTTCTAGCCAGTAGAACAACAGCGTTGAGCTGAACTAGAGTGTCTTTTACTTCGACGATCTCAACGGCAGGAAGTATATGGTCATTAGGTTTATGTTGACCACTGGAGGATTAGTCAGAATTATGTGGACGTAAGGTTCCAAGCCTCCTCAAACAGTTTTACTACTGTAAAGATACTGTATTGAAGGCAGAGCAACTCCGTTCCACTACACGGTTTCGCCAGGGGCGGTGCAAACATTTGCGGCCCTTCTGATTTTCGTTCACAAATGCTCGTTCTGGGGCTCTATGAGTATATTGCCTGGGTGGACCTCATGTTGCAGGACAGTATTTGAAGCTCGAAATCTTCGCTGCCCATCTAAATGAACAGTCAGATCTTTGCAGAGTGAAGGTTAAGATATAAGACGCCAGGGAGGCCATACTTCCGTGAAAAGATTGTTAAAACCAGCTGACCAAGATGCACTGGCTTCATATCGAAGTGAAAGGAAACAGAGCTTAACCACAAAGTACAGCCAGATTTGCTCACAGATCCTCGTGACTGTCATCCACACTCATTAGCTTAAAGAAGTCAGAGAGGGCGAAATCCCAAAGTGGACAGAAACTGGCTATCCACAGGCTCACAGCTCACAAACCTATTTCGGGGAGGGAAATAAAGAGACTACGTGCTTCACAAAAATACTTGGGATTAGGGGTTCTTGGAAGTGTGAGAGGGACAAGTGAAGCTAACGACAATGCTGATACAAGGGATAGGGCACGCGTTTTTGGTGGCAAGCGGAATACCACTCGTGGCTTACGAGAGCTCAATCACTACTTTTGGCAAGTAACTTGTCAATCAGCCGTGTCAGGTGCAGTCCTATTCAATTCCATGGGTAATCGATGCCACTAAATTCCTCCGATTCTTCCTGTACCTTTAGAATCAACAGAATAGTCGAGAAGACAGCGTGATTGCCGAATTCCGTCCATGACCGAACAGTCGAGCATCCCCTTCCGCCTTTGTGACAGTAGAGCTTCCCAGAATGGTTCATCAAGAGGTGACGTGTGGGGACTTTTCCGGAAGTTGTTTGAAATAGGTCGATCAGCTGCTACATTGAGGAAGTCAGCAGCTGAAACTCTTCCCCGTAGATAAAGAATTGAACGCAGTGATCAGCAGCTGCAATTATTGCCGACTGCCGTCAACAACTTTCAGACACACAGACGCATACACATTCATATAGGCACATCAAAAGCACAACAATGGCTAACACTATCGAGCTTTCAAAGCCATAAGTTACGGGAGCGAATGCTGGCTTTGTATGGCGTTTCCGGGAATAGAAAGCTGTGAAGCGGCCCCCGACATTATTCGCAATATCGCACACTCACGCGGAACATTCGCCAAATGCTTGCAATAAATAAAACAGAATGAACAACACCAATTATACGGAGCTCAATTCCATGGCTGACAATGAGAGGATCAGAAAGAAATATTGCTGGGTATTCCTCAAATCCGGCCATCCACCGCCCCGTCGATCATCGTTCTTCAGAAGCTGAAGGCAGCAATGTCCACGTACAGCCACGAAACTCCAGAACCTGATTGTTTCGCATCGTGGACAGACACCCGAGAACGGATGAACGGCCGTATTAGTATGGGATACACACTTCCTTCATTATTTTCGCTTTTAATTTTATTTTTCTCGTTTTCAGCCCTTGCTGTCGGCAGTCTAGCTCACTACGCCGTCTATGCCCGAGGAACAGGGAGCACATCATTCTTTTGTTGAGACCCATTCCAAAGTGTGACCATTCAGCCGAGGGCAGCCCTGATTTACGATTGATGACTTAAGGGATAAAAACGACCAGCTCTAATCCGAAGGTCGTTGCAAAACTACTCAAATTCTATTTTAACAACGACTTCCTCGATCTGGATGGGAGAGTGCACTTGGGTAGTCATCACGAGCATTACCCCTTCCATTCCACAACATGCAGGATACCGTAAAGCCAAATGTGCTTATTGAGAGTAATAACTCATTGTAAGGATAAATGATAATAGCGAAGGAGAAAAGGTTTGCAACTTCGAAGCGACTCCATTCCTGAACGTTACTGTGACCATGCAGAATCACCTTTTGTAGTTGGTAACCAAACTGGGAACAAGGCGCGGAGCACTTAATGGAACAATGTCGGGCACTCGTGAGTCAATAGATGAGCTTAAGATCGTAATGCCATTGTAACCTTATATGAAGGGCGGATTTTCTATGCAACCTCACGAGAAATCGCTGTCACTGATCTTTGTATTCCGTTGAGGATCCTTCCTTCGTTCAAGCCGATGCAGGATAATCAGCTTTTAGGCTACGAAGCGAGAAATATTTGTTGCCGAGCATCTATTCTTTTGTGCAAAATATCAGTTAATCGAATGCAAAAATTACTATAGTCATGCAAAACTCACTCCAGGCCTAGAAACTCGCTTAGAGAGTGCGATAGCTCTTAAGGACTTCACCTACTTATTACGATAAACTAGCTATTCATTATGTTTTTGAAAGTATTCCGAGAACTGAATCCCTGAACATAACATCGAGTCATTTACAGCAAAAACAAAATTGATACCTGGTCACTGCAAGCTGAGAAGCTGATAAAAACTTACTACGGGAACATCCAGTGGTCTACGATCGGAACAAGGGGTAACTTCCATTTCCGGTTAAGATAAAAAAAGGAGAAGAGCTTATCAGGACCACTTATCAATAATTCTGAGAAATAGTTGCTGTAGGGCTATTATGTTGTCGATTACAAGGGCACATGTGATTCTCGTTTCCACTGCCGCCTTCTTCAAAGAGAAGACGCTGCACTGCTCCCTGCCCCTTCGGGCGCCACCTTCAATTTTCGAGCATACGAGGCACTGCTAGAGTTTTCAAGATTAAAACAGAAGGAGACGGTTATAGCGGTGGAAAGCCTGAAAGTTCATGAGTACAAGAGAAGGAAAAACGTTCTAAACGGTAATGATACCAAAGGCTTTCCATGAAATCGAGTAGCCATGAAAGATTCCCTAGCCCTTTCCCCAATCAGCACTCACATTCATATTCGAAGTCCCTTCAAGCTTTCGTCGTCAGAATAAATTGATCAGTTCGTCGGACATGGACACACTAAATATGTAGCGCCTATGACCACTGCACCATGCTATTCTCCTCGGATAAGATGGAGCACGGTTGTGGTTTGACGAAGTCATCACCACACCAGCATCAGGGAAATTGGATGATCTTCCTTCTTTTTCATGGTTGAATCGTTTTCTGTTTATGAATTCAAAAAGAAAGACCATAGGCTAAAAACAAAAACAGCCCGCATATATCCCTTATGGAAGGGAAAATAATGGAGCCTAGTACCAAACATCAGTAGGTACCTCGAAAACAATTACAATATTACTTACAATTGGGTTACAGGAACCAAATGGGAAATAGAAGTCCCTCCCGAGAGTTCAGAACAGTGCCAGAGGACTATCACATGCTGATACACGTACACATGAACATATGGTTCGGGAATCGAGCCGAGACTATGTTAATGAAGCCTTCCATGGCGGCGGGTGCGATGAATTGATGTCTGTGTCGTCTGAGAGTATGAAGATATTGACCCGGTTCGGAAGAAAAGAAGAAAGAGCTTTCAAAAGAGAGCAATGCTCAGGAGTCTCGGTTTTTCAATGTTAGTCCTGAGATCCTGTGTCTCAGAATAGTCTTTAGGATTATTCCTCCCATTCCGACGTCATTCTAGCCAATGATTCAGTGCCAGACGTCCCAGACGTCATCTTTTGATGTCAAGAAGCTACTTATCGCTTTTCGTGCCCAAGCTCCTAATCCGCTTCGTCATGAACATGGCCCAAACACACGGGATGACACATTTCTCAGTGATTTAAGCAAAACATTATTCTTAACACTGCAGAAAATAAAATTCTGCATAGACAGCTTCATGGGGGAGTTTTCAGAATGCACGAACGACATCAGATTGCCCAGATCGCCTAGATGAATTTGTGAATACAATGCAGATTGACTTGACAATCTAGAGGCTGGAGGTCC